CATTCCAGTCACCATTTTTTTTCTCTGCAATTTTCATTTTTTATACTATTACACACATCATCTCGTTGGAATCAAGTTAGACCACGAAAATGGTAAAACCCGTGTAAGCAGCTTCCATGAAAGAACAGATATACAGACTATCGTATCACAAACCTTTCTGCCCTTTTGTGCGACGTGTTAAAACGTTGGGGCAAGAAGGCAATTGAACTTGAATGGAAGTGAATATGCGTGGCCCATGTTCTTGTTGCACAGATGACAAAGGCGTTATCACTGGGAAAGAGCTTTCATTAGTCTGAGCTCTCAGAGTCGTAAAGGAGGCCATCGTCAGAGAAAATGAGAGAACAGCAAGAATTGACATGCTTTACAGTCCACCTACGAGACAGTGGGGGAAGGGGGGAGGTTGGCCTTAGTGATTGGTTGGGTCTGTGCTACTTCGTCTCATCGTATCGGTGTGCGTCCTTGGTCCTTGGCACCGTGTCATGCGTCCTTGGCGTCGTTTCGTTCTTGCCTGGACGCAAGCCGGACCGTTCTTCTTGGTCGCTCGGTGGGCAAAATAGCAATACATTATATACACGTGTCTGGTGATGGAGTTGAAGTCCGATAATCAGGCCTTCAGGGCTTCTCGCCCCGTCTTATTTCTGGCTCGTGCCATTATCCACGTGCCCGCGAAGCCCAATTCGTGGTCTTCTTCCAGGGTGTGGGTAGTGATCTGGAACGGTGGTCGCCTTTCCGCACTGCCCATTTGTGTTCCGTTATTCGCAAGCTAAATCGTCGGCTGCTCTGCCCTGTATAATGGCAAGAACAGTCGCCGCATGGCACTGTCTCCTAGCTGAACTACAAAATATGTTTATGTTTGCTGCTCTCTCATCTCCTTCTGACGATGGTGTCCTGTAAGAGTCCGAGAGCTCAGCCTAACGCAATTGTTGTCCCAGTGTTTGCGCCCTTGCTCTCTTTGCAACTTAAAATGCAATTGGTCATCCCTTGCTAAGTCATACAGTACTTAGGTTGATACATAAACTTTGCGCTAAAAGCATGAGCTCCATAAAACTAAGTAAACGAATCGACGCACAATATTGACATTTAAACAGGCAGTTTTTCTTTATATTCGAGGCGAAAAAAGCACTTAAATCACTTAGCTCCTAAGACTATTTGAAGAACGCGAGCCCTACCTAGAGGAAGCACTGAGTGCGTAGTTATTTCAAGGTCTTAACTGATATTGATATCCCTACTCAACGATTTCAATTTGTTCGATAAATTGCATATTATTTCGACAAATGGAATTATGGAACGGTAGGTACTATGTCAAATATCGGGAAATGTCCCTATAGTATCCTTTTCCTTAATAACCAAAGTTAATTAGGTATATCTATAGAAATAAGCTATACTTATAGTTTTAAAGCATTAACTGTACCAGACATTTTTGAGATTATCCCGCCCCCATAAGCTTGCAGTTTTAATATCTTGAAAGTCTACGATCGGAAGATTAATATTTTGCGATGCCTTAGCAATAGCTAGTGTTGCACTGGGCCAGATAGTTCACGAAAACTGTTATCGGGCAAATTGTGGCTTTCTGGATAACCGTGAAATGGGATGGATTGAAAGATTGATTTCTTACCAAACCTGACTAGGGGGAGAGGGAAGCTACAGTTATCTACGCATAATATTCCTGTTTCAGATCGAGGGGCGGGTGAAGCCTTAGTTGATGACGAACAGTCCTTTTCATTGTGTCATGTCATTCTGGCTTGCGACCCCTTTCATACTAAGCAGCTTGCCCGGACGCTGCTTATCTATGCCTATAATGTAGGATTATGTTTGTCTAACTTTTGCTTATTTAGTAGATTTGAGAGCCGATAATCTTACTATCAGCTTGTCTTTACTTAAGAAAATTTTCCCAGCAGCCGCTTGTGCGCAAGTTGATATCCTACACCTAAGCCCGGAGCTCATGCCCTCTGGAGCGGTATAGTACTAAAGTCAAAAAAAGGTTTCGATCTGCCGTGATTAAAGAATTTCTCGTTGTTTGGTGATTTTAATTTTTTACGTCATCAGTAAATATTCAAGAAATATTGAATAGTTTTTTGATGTTCGTCTGGTATCAGATGCGCATCATTGCATAAGTCGTAACCAAGATTTGTGGTAGTATGAACATCTCTTAAGAATAATTTCTGCGGAAGTATAACCACAAGAGAAAAGGGACCGTAGTTTAACATTCTCGACGTAATCAAGTTGAGCTTTATGATTATTTTCACACCTAACTGCCTCCACATTTGGTTTGAACATGTCCTTTTTTTCTTTCTAAACACATTAGTGTCATGCGAGGTTTTGCTGTTACGTGCTTAATTATATTACTCGTAATGCATCTGCATGCTTTTCAGCTCACAAGTATCAGGGATTATTTCTCACAAAACAAACATATGTGCGTTAAATACTCAGTAATGAAAACGGCATTCTGCACTTTAATGCGGCAAGGTGTTACTTTAGGTTGCCTGGTGTCAATAGAACAAACACTGCACGTATAAGTCAGACTCCATCGATAGCGTTTACGTGTACTCTGCAGCCGATCTTGTTAGCAGCTTAATCTCGCGCATGCATATATAAACCGATTCTTTAAAACCACGAGTTAGCCGGGTTATGTCCGTCTAAGAAATGTGTAGATATCATATCCATATATTCATAGGCCATCCTCTAGGTTAGTACACCGTTTCCTTTTCTAGCCTGCACATTTAACGATTTATTTATTTTTGTTCATTTTCAGAAGTCATTTACTACGATTTTGGTAGTCTGGTGATTGTTTACACGAATGCTGAGAAGGCCGATGAAGCCTATCGACTGCTAAAGAGCAGCACCTTCGAGGATCGCCCTATTCTTGCCATGATTCTGCCACGAATTCAACCAGAACGGGTCCTCGAGGGTACTCAGCCACTCCTGGTTTTCGTAAATGTGAAATCAGGTGGATGTCAAGGCCTAGAATTGATAACCTCTTTCCGGAAACTGCTAAATCCACATCAGGTAGGTGACGTCATAGAGGAACACATTCCCCCCTCCCTGTATTTAGTACTGGTAAAAGAATTTTCAAGTGAATGATTTATGTGACTCTCCGTTTCAAAACTGGTAATTTTGATGATAAATTGCTAACTGAATCGGCATTAAGTCACAACGGATTTAGCCAATTAGTGAAATACTTTACTTGTGTAGAGAGAAAATTTTGCCTCATAGTAAAAACGCGAATCCAGAGCTGAAGATTCACTGTACATTTTTTGAGATAAGTGATATTTTTAGTCCTTTGGATGAATACGGGAAACTCCTCGCCGTATTCTCTCTTGCTCTTATCTTCTGCTCTCACCGTTGTTCCGTAGCGCAAACGCCTGTACCTTTTTTCTTCCAGAGGCAACTGATTGCATGCTCTAGAATATAATTCCTCCTCTTTATCGTTTAAAACGCAAAGAGCTCAAGGTTCTTCGGCACTTTTTTGTAACTTGATGTGCACAAGCGCGCATCATACAAGAAACGAATATTTTTTATCGGTTCAAAACCGTACATTCATATTGACTACTACTAGTATTTAGGAAAACATAGAAATAATAATGAACGGTATAAGGCCTATTAAGTA